CGCGCCTCCAGCCCCCTCTCCCTCCTTCGCCTGCCGGATAATGTCTTCTAGCATGGGGAGGTTCTCCGTCACGAACTGGAAAATCTGCTGCCTCCGCTCCCCTGAGAGGGCTGAGCCCCCGGCTCCCCTTGCCGCCTCGGCCTCCATTCGCTGGGATCCTTCGCCGGCTCCAGGGTCGGTGTTCTCTATCGTTCGCCTGGATCGCGTTCTCGCCATCAACACAGTCTTGATTACCTTAGAGTTCCCACAGACGGCGCCAACTGAAGAAGCGCTGAGCTTCCCCGGATCGAGCTGAACTGATGAGCTCAGTGTGCTGATGGGTAGAGGTAATCCCAAGCCTGCAAGACAGACAATAGGGTGATCTAACAGGGGGCCCCGAGGTTGTCCCCGAGGGCACTCCGACGGTCAAGTTAGTTCTCCGGTGGATGAGGTTTTCGGGAATTAAGCAGCCGAGAGTAATGTGCCAATAGTATGCGTACCTTGTGTAGGTGATGGCCATTACCATTTATACTTGTTCGGGAGTCCGACCTCCGTACGTTTCGGGACTTGCCCGGGATAGCCCTTATCCCGCGCCGAGGGGGATCTCCTCCGACCTCTGTGGGATGGTCCCCTGGCCCTTCTGGAGCCCTAGTGACGATACGGCCCAGGACAGTTGCTAGGGGCCTGAGGTCGAGGCCCTGCTCGGCCATATCTGGGCTGCCACGTGTCTAGGCCTGGGACGGGGCCTCTGCAGTTATTATTAATAGGATTAAGCCTCTGCTCTCTTCCACTATTGGACCTGTCCAAAGTAGCTTTCTTCCTAAAAGAGAAACCAACGATAGCATTGCGTTACTCAGGAACTTTTGCATAGGAGTATTAGAAAATGAACATATGAAGATTAATTTACAAAAGGCTTATGATAAGTTTAACTTCAATTGGTTTTGGCTTAAGCACCGTTCGTTTGATCCACTTTGGTTTTCCTTCTACCTTTTGTTGATGTTGTTATGAAATGTATCACATCCACTTTATTAGCAGCACTTTAAATGGGGAAGTAAATAAATACTTGAACCTAAAAGGGGATATAGACAAGGGTGACTCTCTCTCTGCCTTTATTTTTTTGGGTAAATAATTCTGATTTTAGGACACTTGGAGAGGGATTGTTAACAGCTTTAATAAAGTGAAACTTGGTTCTGAGTGGAATGTCGATAAATGTCATAGAATTTCATGTCTAACGATAGAAGATGGCTTTTGGATACAATTGGGGCATCCCCTTTTGAATGTGTAAAGAGGCTGAGGATAAATTTGATTGCGCACATTCTGCTGATGTTGCATGACAAAAGGGCTCTGATATCACTATCAAAAGCTTCAGTTTGAATTGAAATTTCTGTTTTACAAACCAAGAGCACTTGGATGCTAACAATATCTGAAGTGAGTAAAATGATGGAAAATATGGAAGTATCAGAATTTGATCAAGGAATTTACTTCATTTTAAGTTTTTCTCTGCATCTTGATATCATTTCCGTGCAATACATCACTTTTTTCGTGCAATACATCAAAATGCCTTTTAATCATAAACAGCAAGTGCTCATAATTGTGTTATTTAGTAAGCAAGCATAACAGTTTTGAAAAGAAAATAACATACTTCAACAATTATGAGCAGAACTCCCATCAACAATGCTGATTTGAGCTTACCTCTGACATGATTGACTTTCCTAGCATATGTTTTCTAATGGTGATGTGGTTCTTGAAAAATCTGATATGTTATAAACCATAAAGATCTTCAAGTACACAGGATTACTGGATCTTAAACCTTTTGTACAAGGTTTAACTTCTCGAGACTGCCACAAACAAGGGTTAACTTCCAATTGAAACTTAGAAAAATTGAATGTTCTGAAATGCCAATTCTTGAAATTAAACGCCATCATTCACCAAACTTTTTTCCAAGAAAGCTGAAATTATTCACATAAAACAAGTAAACACCAGAAATTGCAAACTAAGGAGATTATGTTCAGATTTACAATCAAAACACATTAAACTACCTTCGAAGAAACTTAAATCATCCTAAAATTTTTTAGCAAAGACGAACAAAAAAATTTGTACCCTCTCAAGAATAAAATTCCTTAATGGTCTTGGCTGAAATTTGGTTCATTCACTACAAAACCATCACAAGATTTGTATTAAAAAAAAGGCCACAGCAACACATAATCATAGCAAATAAGTGACATAAAACTTAGGCGTGAAGAAGGAAAAATGTACCTGAATATTTTCGTCTCCTAACAAGCAAGTGTTTCGTACATGACTTTGGATTAATGAAGGATTGCATGCCCACATTAATGCCTATACAAATGCAAATACAGCACAATTATATTTCATGTCTTCACACAAAAATAAAAGCAAGCTATACATTACCTGACCAGGAGGAATGATCTGAAACCAATTACTATCCATTAACTCCTTATTGCATCCATGCGGTGAATCTGATTGCAATAGGCCAGATAGGATGATCCTATCAGGTTTGAATTTACATTCTCAATTGAAATACATTGTTTGGCTGGTTTTTCAAACCAGGGAAATTTCAAAGTTCACAAATATAGTTCAAGATTGTTTTTTGTCATTGATCAGTGATATGTAGGTACAATTAGATTCAGGTAGGCTCCGACCAATTCATGATTCATCAGGCGCCCAAAGCAAGGGTGATTTTACTGCTACTTTTAAAGAAACAATAATGCTTTCCAGTGTTAGAATATATATCATGCCGAATCCTTTTTGTATTAAATCTTATCGATCTCAACGATGTATTTTGAGCAAATAGACGTATCAAAGCTAATTCTTTGCATGGCGGTGGGAATTGCTAGAATCAAATTCATGTATTCAAACATTAAAAAAAAAACAAAGGATTCTAATAGTACCATGAACACAACGATAACTTTGAGACCAACGTACTAAAATCTTTACTTTGCATTGCTTAGAATCTTTAAAAATTTGCATCGTAAATGTCTATGAATCCGGTGTTGGAAGTATCTAAAACATAGGAATGAGGAGATATAATAAAAATTAATTTAAAAAATTGATAACTGAAATTCGTCAACTGTGGTTTTAATCAAGTTGTTTGGTGTTTTCTAACCCCGTACAAGCATCAATCATATCATGCAAATTTCTTTTTGACATTTCACCAAACACCTTATATGCATTCCTAAATTAACTACTTTTCACATAAATGCCGACATACTACTATGTTTCACATATAGGGTCTAAGTCATTTCCCACATATTTTTCAACAAAATATTGACAATCAAATCAAATGAAAGATAAATAAATTAAAGCAATATAATCAGGCAATTTTCAAGAAACATGATGGTCTAACCTCTTGGCTGCTATTTTTCATCTACTCTCTTGCAGGATACCACCACCGCAACCCTAATAAAATCTCAACCAATTTGTTGGGTCTGCATATGCTAGCATCCAAAATCGATCAATCACCTAGGAGAGAGGAAAAGTGTGGACTAAACAGGAAAATTTTGCCAGAAGATGTATAAAACTTAAATAAGAAGGAACAGATGTTGCACAAAATACGAAGGGTACAATTTTCAATTCACCAGCAAAATCCTCTCCTTCATTGTCATCTAAAACTACGATAAAATCAAAACAAAAACAAAAAGGAACAATGAATATGGAGAAGAATAGTCAATTTTTCAGTGGAATAACAAAAAAACAAATCATTTTGTTTCCAACTATACCTTGCTGGAAGGGCTTTTAAACGACATCCAGTGGGAGTCAAAATCTTCGTTCTCAAATCCGTCTGGCAATTCTCGATCAGAATTGTCGTAATCTTGCTAGGAAAAAATTTCTATTCCATCATATCGTGAGGTGAGAAGAAAATAAAAAGAAGGCAAGCAACTTTAGAGAGATGTGATAACCCAAAACTTTAGTTTGCAATTTACCACCAAAACTAGGAACTTAGTTACACAGTGCCCATTAAAGAATTTTATAGGTAATTTACCCCAGTGTTTTAACTATTTTATTTTTCTTTGTTCCTCTCATTTTTCTCTTTTATTTCTTTTGTATCACTATTAATAATTGACTAATCACAAGCTCCAAGTTTTATGTTCATATAGAAACATTTTTTATTTCTAGATTATGTATACTTTGTAATGCAAGCAACAAACCAACTGCATCCTACAACAAATTAGTGTTGGAGTTTGCGATAAATTATTTCATGATGAAAATTAACAAATAATCAACATCCCACAAAATTAAAGATTAAGCCAAAGAAAGTTAAGGAAACTAAACTTTACAATATAATAAATTATATCTTACTTGTCTTACAAAGCATCTTTCATTTAGAAATTATATTATTTAAACAAATGCATAACAATAAAATTTGTGATTACTCATTTAAAAACAATAATATAATTTTTATTAATGGTAAGAGAGAATGGAGAACAATAAGGATATTACGAGAGAGAGAGAGAGAGAGAGAGAGAGAGAGAGAGAGAGAAGGAAAAAAGAAAAACAAAATTTTTAAAATGAATTCAGAGATAAATTCACTATAAAAGTTCCTTGGGAGCTTATTACAAAGAGTACTAATAGAATGCAATTGCTAACTTTAGAATACTTCGCCATTTATCAAGCAGTTACTTTTTGCGGTAAATTTGAAAGGTAAAGTGCTTAAATGATTATGTTTAGGGGCTTACTACAATAACCCTTGCTGAAATTGTATAATATCTTTGCAATTTTGGGATTCCACGTATTTTGTTTTAATCAAGGAGTGATACACAACGTAGTTAACTAGTTGGAACAAAGTTGACTTACTAGATGTTTGAGAGTAAAAGTGCAATAATCATGTCCATGAAAAAGACAGAACTAAGGGTCTGTTTGTTTGGAAGGAAAAGGTTTTCCGGAAAACATTTTCCATATTTTCTTTTGTTTGGTTGTCAATTATTTTGGGAAAATAATTTCCGATGGAAAATAAATTACATCCAGAGGAGGAAAATAACTTCCTCATCTGTCTTTGTGAAGTTATTTTCCTTCCTAAAATGCAGTCTTCTTTTTCGCAGCGACATCTCCTCATCTCCGGCAAATAAAAGCTTTCAGTCCAACCAAAAGCCGCCGGCGACATCTCATCAGCAAACAAATCCCTCCTTCTTCGCAGGCGGCATCTCCAACTCCGACAAAGACCCAATTTCGGAGGTAACAGGTCATCTCCTCTCTCTCTCTCTCTCTCTCTCATTTTTTTTCCTTTAAAAGCTGCCAATATCGACGGTCATGTGTGGATGCGTTTGTGTGAGTGTGAGTTTGTGTGGTCCATTTCTCTAGTCATCGGAACTAGACTTTGCCATTGCGGCCGGTAACCATCTCTCTCTCTCTCTCTCTTCAGTCAGCTTTTTGTTTGTGAGCTGTGCCCGCCATTGTGGATGCGTTTGCTTATGCAGCCTCAGAAGCTTGTTTGACGGCATAAGCACAATCTGATTCCCGTTCCTACAATAGCATTTCCAACAAGGGTGAAGATTCCTCAAGTATTTCCAGAGGTATGATCTCTTGTTAGTTGTTTTTTCCTCCCTTTTCCTTTGAAAAATTGTCTAGAATTACTGGTGTAGATTCTTGAAGTTCCATTTGAATGAATTTTTGTGGGTTGCTTTTGTTTTAGTTTGTTCTTACCTGATTAGGGTTAAATCTGATTTGATTGATGCTAATGAATTAATTTGGCTGCTGATTTTTCGGGGTTTTAGACCATTTGTAAAAGTTTTAGTGAATTCATTGAGTTTGTGAAGCCACGGGCTGATTCTTACTGCAGCTGCTTGATTGAAAAGGGAATATAACCGTGGAAATACTTATGTCTTAATATACTGAAATCTTTCCTCAAACGAAATGAAACACAAGCAGGGCATCTTCCCAAGTCAGTGACTCTTGAGTAAGGTCTGATATTCCAGTTAGTTGTAGCTTTTCTACCAATGTCCTTAGGACGGTTGGATCTGCAGAAGAGTCATTACTCCTGCTGTAAAGAGACAATAGACAAAAGTTATAGGCAAAAATCCCGGCACGGATTTTCCTCTGTTACACGGATTCTATGCTTTCTATCATGGAAATCCCGGCACATATACACTTGTTCTTGAAATCTGCCAGAAGATGTGTAATTACTTTGATTGTTGGATGCAGCTGCCGTTGCCAGGAAAGCAGGGGAGCCATTAGTGATAGAGGAAATAATAGTTGCCCCTCCAAAAGCCCGTGAGCTTCGCGTTCGAGTCTTGTGCTCCGCCCTCTGCTTCAGTGACATCCATTTCTGGAGGCTCAAAGTATGAATCTCATGTCCTCTAATCACACGCAGATCAGCATAACTTTGCACATGAATCTGTACTTTGATCAAATTCTGACAAACTCGTTTGTTCTGTTTGAAGGAACCGCATGGATATTATCCAAGAATTTTTGGTCATGAAACTGTTGGGTGAGTATTTTCATTCATGCTACAAGTACTAACAAGGTCATGACTTTGCTCAAAGCATTTTAGTCAATTTCTGATCATGTTTGATTCTGTTTAATTTAGGGTTGTGGAGAGCGTTGGAGAGGGAATCGAGGATGTAAAGGTGGGAGACACTGTCATTCCATCATTCTTGGCTTACTGCGGAGAATGTCCTGATTGCACATCATCAAAAGCAACCAATGCTCCAAATTGAGATTCGAATTGTCTCCTTATATTAGAGATGGGACTAGCCGATTTTCTGATACCAAAGGAGAGACAATTTACCACTTTGGCTACACATCAGGTTTCAGTGAGTACACTGTGGTGGACATCACTCACGTTACAAAAAGTAGATCCTGCACTTCCAGCCAGTAGAGCATGCCTGCTTGGCTGTGGAGTATCTACTGGTAATGCCCATTCGCTTCGATTCTTCCTGGCTCAATTCGATTCGTTTTGAACTTCTATTGTTCGTAGGACCTATTTTCACATTTTCTGTTGCAGATTTCAAGAACAAGTGTATATGTGCCGGGATTTCCATGATAGAAAGCATAGAATCCGTGTAACAGAGGAAAATGAGGGCGAAAGTGCTATTCTGCTAGAACTCCTCTTTGTAGATTGACATTTGCACAAGGCTGCATGAAGCTAAATTTTTGGCCTAGCACCAGCAGTCTCTGTCTCTGTACTGAGCTGCTGTACATATTAAGGTGGTTTATTGGTAATTGACCTTGGACTTTGCTAATCGAAAGCTCCATTGGTCGGCAGCAAGAATTAACAAATTATGAATAAATCCAAGATTCCATTAATAATTCCATTTAAGAATTCATGGTATAATATGAATAGATATTTTATAGAAATGATAATTTGATTACAATGGATAGAAACTAAAATTAACTTGTAACGAAATAAATGTTTTGAGAGTAAAAAAAATATTTGCAACATATCAACAAATATATCAGAAAATATTTTCAGTGACAAACCAAACGCCGGAAAATTATGAAAAAAGGAATTTGGAAAATATTTTCACTTAATAACCAAACACTGGAAAATTATGGGGAAGGAAGTGATTTTCCAGGAAAATGACTTCGACTGAAAATATTTTCCTAGGGAAAATATTTTCAGTCCAACCAAACGGACCCTAAAAGTCGGACCTTTTTTGGCATTCAAAATTATTCATAACCAAAAAAAAGAAACAATCAAATCCCAATGGTAGACCTGGAATAAATCAGGCCAAGAAAATCATTTGCAAAACAAGTAACGTACAAAATGATTGAAAGAGGTGGGCTTAATTTAGCAAATCAGGCCAAGAAAGTCATTTGCAAAACAAGTCACGTATAAAATGATTGAAAGAGATGGGCTATTTAGTAAATCACTCAACTGTCACCCACCTGCATATTGAGTTGGATGCCGAAGTAATTGTGGATTTGATCATTAATCATCACTTCTCAAAATCACAACCTTTCCGCTGTAATTTTTGATTGCAGGCCCTCTTGGACAGCTTCCAAGTGTCACGGTTGTTTATTTTCCTACAAGTCAACACAACGTACGATATACTAGCGATCATTCAAAATTTAAATTATGAACAATTAGCTAATTCAACCTAAACACTAAGTGCGTGAAAATGTGCGAAAACTAGAGTCGTGAGTAAAGAAAGAAAGTATCGGAGGCAAAGGAAAGTTTGTATTACACTTGTGAACACTTACATATGGTTGGTTACAAATGAGGGGTTTGACCCTATTTATAAACAAGTCAAGAACCTATACAACTCTCTAGAGAATTTTACAGACTTGCACAGAGTATAGGTACTAGATCGAGGGCCTACACAAAAAAAGTACTACTCTTTGTGCAAGTCTCTAGAATTCTCTAGAGAGTTGTATAGTTTCTTAACTTGCCTATAAATAGGGTCAAGTCCCTCATTTGTAATCAATCTTGTGTAAGTGTTCACAAGTGTAATACAAACTTTCCTTTGCCTCCGATACTTTTTTTCTTTGCTCACGACTCTAGTTTCTGCACATTTCTGCGCACTTAGTGTTTAGGCTAACCTAACTAACTGTTCATAGTTTAAATGTTGAACGATCGCTAGTACCGCACGGCGTGTTGGCTTATAGGAAAAGCAACCCGTGACACAAAGGCACTCTAATAGACACATCTACCAGGAAGCAAACCAACGCGCTGACTTTTTTGCAAAAATAGATGTTGAAACTAATAAAGATTTTTGTCTTTTCCATGTAAACCCATTTTTCACTATCTATGGATTTTGGGGGCCTTTAGCTGGCTCTGTATATAAACTCTTACTAATAGATTTTTAATATTATTATTATTTGTACCCAAAAAACAAAAAAAAAAAACAAAACGGTTGAAAGTATTCAGTATAATGGGCCATAGATTTTTATTCATACGTATTACTCCCTTCATTCCATTAAAGGTGTCATACTTTCCACTTTAAGATTTTCTAAAATATTTATGATGACAAAAAAAATTCAAATTACCTTGTAGGTTTTTTCTTCTAATTTAGTCTCTTCATTTAATCATATACATGTCATCATTCAAATTCAAAATTTAAATTTGTAAGGATAAGATTAGAAAGAGAAGTACAAAAATCACAATTAAAGCACTATTATTAAAATGTTGGATTCTCGAAACACGAAAAACAAATTGGAACTGAGGGAATATAGACTTCTCTACGAAGAGATGTTGTTATAATCAAATAGTGAACTATAACTAGAATTTATCATATATACTTGTACTATGATCAACTTTTCTTTGTTATGTTCAAACATTAGTACCTTAAATGTCGTCAAAAGTGGAAGAAATGAGGCATCTGATCACCAAATTTTGTTAATAAATTTTTTTGTGAAATTTACCAAATTGATCCCTCACATTTAAATAAAAAAATTTTTGGTCCCTCACATTTAAAATCAATTACAATAGTTCCTCAAATATAGAAATGTCCTCTTAATTGGTCCCAAACTCATTGTTGCTCACTTTTCTATCTAAAAAGTGCACACCTCTCTCATGTGCTTGTAAAAAATACATTGTTTCCTTTTAAGAATGAAAACATATTTCATTTTCTTATAAGAAACACATCAACTATCAAAATCCTAAATATAAACCTCAATTAAATAAGGAAAATTTTAACTTCTTCATTCTTCAATATCACACAAACAACTGTGTAAGCGACGAAAGTGCAAAGATCATATTACTTTTACCTTATATGCTTCATTTCCTCTTTAGACTACAGTTAAACTCTTGTTCAACATAATCAGTAAAATGCACATCCAAGAAACAAGCAAAGTAGCCCAAAATAAATTTTCTTTTCAAATTCTTTTTTTTGCTCAGTTTCCAGCCGATTGATAGTCTTTAACAAGGTAGGTATTATTGATATTGATCTACTGCACATTGAGGAATCATGCCACTTGAAATAATGATAAGCACAATTCACCTAAATTGCAAGAACATCAGGTATTAAGAATCAATTTTCACCTCATATTAAAAACCAATTTTTTTCAAGACAACCAAAATGAAATGTGCTTAGGCTTACTTCATAGTTTCGACACCCATAGAATCTCCTTCCTAAATTTGTAGGTTTCCAAGAAGTCATAATCATGAGCTCTTTGTCACAATAACATTGATCATTGATTATTTTCAGTGTATTTTCTTAAATGTCTTTTCTTGCTCTTCTTCTACTACTCGTAGGTGACCATATTGACATTTGCTTCTTTGATTAGAGGGTTGTAACTTACAATTAGCTTTTTGGTAGTTGAAGAAATGGAGGGAAGGGGAAAAAAAGGTTTGGTGGCTTACATTTCCTTCTTATATAAAAAAAGAGAAAATGAAATATATTTTCATTTTTGCCTTTAAAATTATGGGCACGTGAAAGAGATGTGCGCTTTTTGACGAGAGAAGTAAGCGAAAATGAGATTTGTGATCAATTGGGTGGATTTTTTTATATTCGATGGACTATTATGATTGATTTTAAATGTGAGGGATTAAAAATTTTTTTTTTGAAAGTGTAAATGACCAATTTGGCAAATTTCCCTTTCTTTTTTTGGTTCAATATATTGGGGAAAGATATTTAGATATGGAACTTGTTACCACCTATAATGAAGTAAGCATCCAACAACTAAGCTACCAGTTCAATAGCACGTTGTCTCAGATAAGGTCGTCCTAAAGGTATTCACCATTACAGCATCGTGGACTGTCAGTTGCATTGAATACTTCATTTGTTTCTTTATCACCATGACGAAAATTTCCTTATAAATATTCCGTAGTCAACATGGTTCAGGAATTTGAACAACTGCTGATACTTAAAAGAATGTCAGAATAGAGTGAACACATGATAATAAGTCGAGTAACTCGTACATACTGCCTGTTGTAGACACTGAAGAAGCTGCAGTTTTAGAATACAAAATTGACCAAAACACCACACGAAACAGAAATAGCTTCATGGGGATCTCCAAAATTTGTTTACCACCCTATTCCAGTATTCCACATCAAGGTTTGTAAAATCAGGATCCTACGTAGGATCGATTTTAGTTTCACGGAATCGGATCGTAGGATCGTAAGATCCTACCAAAAGCTCTTAATTGCAATTAAAGGTTGCAATTCTTTGATAAATTACAAATATACCACAAATATTTTCATTTACTTGCAAAATGGAGCCTCGTAGTTCACAAATTTACAAAAAATTGTAGGATCGTACGATCCTATACGATCCTACCAATCCTACTACGATCCTACGCGATCCTGCATAGATTAATATGATTTGCGACTCTGAATACGATCCGGATCGATTTTGATTATCCGGATCGTACGATCGTACGATCCGGATCGCGATTTCGACAACTATGTTCCACATAATTTATCAGCCCAAGGATTAAA